GAGGAATGCTTCCAGCACCTTGTTGAATCTATGCCACGAAGAACTGAGGCAGTTCTGAAGGCAAAAGGGGGYCCAACSCATTACTAGCGTGGTGTACCTAATAAAGTGGCCGGTGAGTGTATATATACATATATAATATGGAAACCGTTTTAGACAAGCATAATCTTTCTGTATTGTCATTAGTTCATTAGTTGGATATTCTTTGGATGTGAATATTTCATCATTCTTGTTATAATGTGTAGACAGAGCTAAAGACGAAGAAAAGGTTGGCTAAAAATATGAAAGGGTCTGAATTTCAACAGAGAAAATTCCTATATTTTCCTTGAATCATGCTTGTTTTGAAAGTAAAATCAATGGAACACTGATTAATTTGGACATTTCGTGTGCAATATTTGTAAAGATTTAGCAACATGAAATCCTTTGTTGAACTAGTCTGAAATGCAGTCTTTATGATTCACAGAAGCTCCTTGAATATTTCACAATAAGCATCTCAAATATACTCATGGGCTTTTTGTTGACCTCAATAGGAAAAAAAATGCTTTTTCTTACAGTTCTTCCATAAACAATTTTCAGCTGCCTAAATTGCTAGAATTTTTTAGTTTGTTCAGTTCCAAGCACAAGTTACAATATTTGTGGTAAAATAATCTTATTAATCAAATCTATTCTGTAAATAAAGTAATACATTGGCTTTTGAGTCGTTGACAGTTTGATTTTTATTCCTCTGTTAGTCAAAAATTCTGCAACACTTTTAACAGCTTGCCGTAGACACAGCTGCTCTTGTGCACAATTTGTAATTCATGTCCTAAGTGGAGATTATTGACAAGAAATTTGGATTATCAGTGTTCTAAATTTGCCTTATTTTTTTCATTCAGGTGAAATTGTGCAGAAACAGCTTTGCCGTGATGCCATCCTCCCCATGCCCACCATCTGTGAGGTGCCCTGCCCCAAGGACTGTGCACTGAGCCCCTGGACCTCCTGGTCCCTCTGCTCTCATACATGCTCGGGGAAGAACACAGAAGGGAAGCAGACTCGGGTTCGCTCCATTCTGGCGTATAATGCAGGAGAAGGTGGGGAATCTCATGTTGTGCACCACAGGAGCAAAGCAAGCATCACACACATTAATTAAATTAGACATGTACTTAGAGTAATTGAGGAGAACCTTCGAGCTAATGAGCAACTCAGCATTACCTGATAAGATCAATGATATTGACCATGACCCCAGTAGAGATGTACACAAACACCAGAAACTGCTTTCACAATCTGATGGATAATTTTGGTTGTATCACTGTTGTTGAAAGTTCTGCAGGGTGTTGTTTTACGGTAAGCCTGGCCCTAACCAGTTAACAACAATGAGCCAAGGTCTCGTTCTTCTATTTCAACTATGTTGTCCTTCAGATATTCTGCTCGAGTCAATAAGAACCAGTTTTTTGAACCGTGTTCAAACAGTCTTGAGCACAAAGTTGAGGAGATGGAAAAAAGATGCAAATGTCAACAGATAAAAGTCGATTTCTGTTTTTTATTTTCAACAAATTTTACTGGGATTGACATTGTAGTGCATTGTAAACGACTCAGTCGTTTTTGTCGTATTCACAATACAACAAAATCTCAAAGATCAATATGTTAGTTTTAGCATGTTGCTTTAGTTCCAAAAATACATGCTGCACCGGAACAGCCTTTCAAAGCACTGTCAAAATGTTAACTGAACACAAAGATAATGTCTGATAATTATTTAATCGGCTTGGATCGCACAACTTCAGAATCAACATGCTAACAAGTAGCATCTACAGATAGACTCGTTTTTAACGTTAGTATACGGATCTCTGAATGTGACGTCACATCTTCTGTGCATGCGGCTCACTCTGATACATACAGCTTTCACACTGGAGTCTGATGGAGGTCACATTTATAATGTGAAAATCTACATAAAGAAAATGCTATTGGTCCTGGGTATCGAGGCATTTTGAACAAGTACGACCCCGATTCATGCAAATACTGGTGTCAGTATCGGGACACCTCTACTACAGAGTATAAGATAATGAAGGGGAAATAATGAATTTAAACAATTCAGAAGTTAATTGCTGGTAAATGTCATTACAACATATGAGGAAAAGAAGTGTTCAATACGCTCAAACTTTACTTTACTCTTTGATTCTGCTCTCATCAAATCACATGTGCTAAAAGAGTTGGCCAAAAATAAATAATTGCATTTCTGAGATAATTTTGCTTTTATTGATTGTCCCAACGAACTTTGACATGTCCTTTTTTTCTCCTTCACCTGGTTTGCTGTTCTGTGTCTTCCTTATGCAGTAACTGCTAAAGTTGTAGCATGGGTTACGGTTATGAAGGGTAAGAAGTTTCTCCTCCAAGCCTTACCTTATTTGACCAAATACTGGCTCTAAAAATAAACACAGATTTGTATTTTTCTTTGTTCCTTTTCAAGGTCCTTCATTGCTGTCAGTGATGCAGCCAGTATTTGGTACATTCATCCTTTTTAAAATGTTTTTAGAAAGTAGCTGTGACTTCTGCTGGTGTAGTATGTACTGTAGTCTCTAAATACTTGCTCAAAGTAGAGTATTGTTGGTAGTAATCTGCTGGTCTTACACAATCTAACTTTTTATCAGAAAAAAACCCCAGTCATTTATCATTTTTAAGACCTTCAAATCCAAGCAAGTAGGACCCAAACTGGGCAATAATACAAGGTGTTTTGGATAAAGTACGACCAATAAAGTTGCCAGTCACTGGTGAGTTAGATCATTTTCACCAAATGTGAGAGGAAAAAAAAGGCAAGACAGATAGTTGGCTTTTGTCTCAGCAGAAAAACTGATTTAATTTTTGATGTTTGTGCTATTATTTTTACAGCTCCTGTCTGATTCAATGATTTATATCACATTACTTACAGCTTCGGTGCAGTGACATAAAATCTTGGGTATTTATGTGAACAGGAAATGACTTCTGTCCGAATGGGTTCATGCTGCTGTCAGACTCAGAACAGGATGCAGGCCTTTTCTATTGACCTTTTTATATTTAGAGGAAAGACTTGCTGCAGTTTTATTTGAATGATGAACAACATGAAGCAGAATTTGTTGATGTACTTCTACATTTAAGTTTACATTACAACACTCCTACCAAGACCTGCTTGTAGGCTGATATGATATACAGTATCTATACTTTTTAACAGTTTATGCAGGACATAATGAGCAACTAGTCAGTTCAGCAAATTATGTTGTGGTCACTTTCTGGTTAAGCGCCCTTTTGCTATTGTCCCTTTGACAGCTTGGAGCAGTTGTTCTGGTTGGTTAAACAAAGAAAAAAATGGATCTTTGTTTTTAGACATTTAAACTGGGAATGGTACAGAATACTGATGTTTTTTTAACACCAAGATGTATGTTGAAACTGGTAACAAACCCATCCCCACTGCTGACTATCTACTTATATAGAGCCATGAGCTACATAAAAAGGGGTGTGGATTATGCAAAATCATCTTTTTTGAGCTTTATGTCCCGTTTTAATGTCATTCCTTCATCACAAACATACCCAGGATGTTTCTTTGGTGCATTAATGCAAGTTTGATAAATCCTTGAATCTCCTGTGGTAGCCATTCAGTGGTGCAAAAACACATGCTCATACAAAGCTCCGCCCTGGAGTTCAGTCTTAAGCTGAGCTCCTACCCAGAGCACCCCTCCCCCACACAGCTCCACCAGAAAAGCAAAACACATCTCAAAAATGGTGGATGTTCTTTGAAAAAGCAGCTTAATATTGATGTTTGTGTATGAAAGAATGAATGGGAGATATGTTACCAAACTGAAAAGTCTTGTAAGAGCCTCTGTACTCGCTCCAGTTCTGCAGAAAACATCCTTTCTGGGCCAATGTGGGGTCACTCAAGTAAGGTTCAACTGTATCATCAGTTGCCATTTTCCAACACCAGTAATGTATAATGTTGCTTCTCTTTTTACAACACTCCTACCAAGGGTTGTAAACAGCATGAAGCATTGCTGTGAAGACCTGCTTGAAGTGGAAATGTCTGACCAGGAGGTCCTTAGAGGCCAATTTCAAGATATTTAAATAGATTGGAGTGCAAAGTCATTTATTTTGATGTTTACAGCGTTTTCATAACAACTCAAGGTATCATAGTTACTTGATTGTGGTATGCCAGATCTGAGACTGTTCGTAAGCATTTAACCCAAAACACTGATACTCTTCCATTGTTCCTCAGGAGGTGTTCAATGTCCCAACATCAGTGCACTGCAGGAAGTCAGAAACTGCAATGACCACCCTTGCACTGTGTACCATTGGCAAACTGGCTCTTGGGGTCAGTGCATAGAGGACTCCTCCAACCCATCCACCAACTTGTCTGTGGGCCGAATACGTGGTGATGATGCATCATGCTCAGTGGGAATGCAGACTCGCAAAGTCATCTGTGTTCGTGTCAACGTGGGCCAGGTTCCTCCGAAAAAGTAAGCTTTCTCATCATTTCAATACATGCCGTCTAAGTTTGGACATAAAATGCAACATTTTCTAATAGAAAAGTCACATGGACTTGAGTTCTAAATATTTTAGTTGACCTTTTCAACAAAATCAGAACTGACAAATCTGAGACCTTCATACTTTTGACTTAAAGTGCAAACTGCAAGACATGTCAAGGTGTTGCAGTTGGTAGAATGTTTAGACCCAAAGTGAAATATTATATGAGGAGCTGATGTGGCAGCACAAAAAAAAAAAAAAAAAAAAAAAAAAAAAAGGGGG